GGCGTACCTAATTGATTCACCGGGTGACCGAAATCTATCTTCAGCCTACATGAAAATTAATAGGAGTAATATAATTTCTGTTTAGTTAAATCAAATTTTTTTAACCTTAACATTAACAATTGTAATTAGGTACAAGAGAAGCAAAAATTTTATATGGGTTTGCAAGCTTTGCTGGTGTATCGTATAATATGTAGTTTCTGGAACACTCAATATTAACTATATATTTACCTATTGTATCATTACATCCCAATTTCTTCCTTGAAAATGTTGGTTGTTATTTATTGAACTTAAATTAAATCGTTATTATTCTTCTTTGCTTGAACCATTTTTTTACATTCGCTCGATAATCAAGTTGATACCTATATTTTTATTACAGACACCTAATAAAAGTATTTTGTATTTGTCTGTGTATAATATCAACGTGTGTAAATCTATTTTAATAGTAGAAGTTTGGAGCAATTTAAAAGTATTTTTTTTCTGTATTTAATCGAATACATTGTTTTCAGCATAATGTGAATAATTATGGGAGGTTTTTCCTTATAATTTTGTGGTATTAGTTTTATTGTGTAAGATATTCAAACATACTTGAAATTAAAAACTATAGAAAAATCTTGTTTATTATACAATAATAGAATATGTATGTTTGCATCTATTAAATTAATTTTGTTAAAATTATTGGCTATTGTATTCAAAATTGATTATCATCAAAAATTGAAGTACAATTATTTCATGATTTTGTACTTCAAAATTAGTTCAAGGTAGTCTTAAAGTTATTTGGCTATTTTAAACTTAACTAAAATCACTATTACAGCCTATAAATATTTTTATAGTTGTACTGTTGTACATATTTATTACTAACTATGCCAAACATGATGATCTTTACCTAACCTACCTATATTAGTAAATAATTTAAAAATTAATTGAATTTAATTTTTCCTGCTTACAATTTCAATATTGATTAAATTATTTTTAATAATTTTTTTTAAAATTTTATGAAATAAATGTAGAAAAATTATTTTTATGTCTAAAACTGGTTAATCTGGACTTAAAACAGCTTTAAAAAAATTTGGCTTTCTATAATTATTGTTTGTGTAACTAAGAACTATTTTTAGTTTTTATTAAAATGTTATAAATTCTGAGTAAAATAAATCTTAAGGACACTATTCTAAGTATAAATAAGATCTAAGATGCAATAAAATATTTTAATTTTAAATATTTATTTTTTATCTTAAATTAATGATAGGAAAATTAAATTTTGTTGTATAAAAAATATTGATATAGCTTATCAAAACTAGAATATCTTTTTATTATTTATAAATAAGTATAAAATACATATTCAATTATTAAGAGTAAGATGAAGTAGGTTTGTTGGGCTTTGTAGTAATGGAAATTGAAGCACAAATTTTTCTGTGACCTATTATTTATATTTGAACAGAATAGGTATAATTATCATGGTTTTATTTTATTTTATTTTTTTTTGTCGATATTTGTTACAATTGGTTAACCAGTCTTAAATTTTCAACTAAAAACCAAATCTCAAGTAATATTAATAATACATACCATACAGAAGTATAGTTATTTTTTAAAAATTAATTTCATAAATACACCTTTAACAAAATTAAACAATGGTTTTTTGCGACTTAATGTTTATGAACCTAGAAAGTATTTTCTTTTTTTTCTTATTAATTAGCTATCCTTCTGCACTTTGTTATTAATTAAAATTATTCTTCTTATATTATCCATATTGTTATACTTGTTATTCTCAGATAACACAACATTTTTTTTTATATCTATAGCTGTCCTCATGCACATAATTACTTGAAAATCATATAATCTCTTCTATAGGATTTTTAAAACTTATTTTATCATTACTTAATATTGTGGACATTGATTGCCTTAACTCAGTGTATTGCATAGGCAAGGCTTTAACACAATTGTGCCCAACACAATTAACATGATTGAACCAGTTTTACTCTTTTACCTGTTCAAAATGCAACATGATTGCGCTCCAATATATATCTATATTCTAATAATTTTTTAATGAACTAAAATCGACTTGGTTTTCCTTAAGACTTGATTTCCCAGTATGTATAACCAGGTATTTTAATTAGTATGTGCACTTGAGTAATCGAGTTAATATTTTATTGTTAATTTATTGTTAACTTTTATAACTTTTTATAGTATTTTTTATATATATATTTTTAAATTATTTTTATATTAGATTTTTTTAATCAAATTTTTATATTATTTTAATGTATTGCTACATGCTTTAAAACTTATGTTTATTTTGACAATACTTAACAATTTTTTATTTAAATAAGAATGCATACAAATATAAACTAATAAAAAAAAAAAATTTACCAGAAATGCTGGTATATATATAAGGGGCACATATATATTGGAGCACAATATTGTGTTGCGTTTTTTGAACCGAAAAAGGTAAGATAGATGCAATCGTGTTGTACTGATAGGTAATGCCCACACTGTTCATTCATTATTCCTTTGTAGTTTATTTGTCTATTTTTCTTCTCGACTCCTAAGGTCAATGTGTGATGCTAAATAGCCTATAACCTTCCTTAATAATTGAGCTATTAAGTGCATAAATCATTTTTTAAACTCTACTGATAGTTCCAAATATTAGTGCAGTTATATTAATACATAGATAATATTGTTTATTAATTGTCTACTATTTTTATCATTTTTAGCAAATATAATAATAAAAAACCAAATATGTCGAACATTGGTATCAACGGATTTGGCCGTATTGGTCGATTGGTTTTAAGAGCTTCATTGGAAAAGGGCGCCAAAGTTGTAGCCATCAATGACCCATTCATTGGTATTGAATATATGGTATACTTGTTCAAGTATGATTCTACTCATGGACGTTTCAAGGGCGAAGTTTCTGTTGATGGAGATTTTCTTATCGTCAATGGTTAATATTTTACTATTTATAATTTAGTATGTATTAATAAAAATGATTAATTTTTACTTGTTTTATTTTTAAATCATTAGGAAACAAAATCAAGGTGTTCTCTGAACGCGACCCTAAAGCCATCCAATGGGGATCTGCTGGTGCCGATTACGTTGTTGAATCCACCGGTGTATTTACCACCATTGAAAAAGCCTCTGCTCATTTGGAAGGTGGAGCCAAGAAAGTTATCATCTCTGCACCAAGTGCTGATGCACCAATGTTTGTTGTTGGTGTTAATTTGGATGCTTACAATCCATCATTCAAAGTTGTATCTAATGCTTCTTGCACAACTAACTGCTTGGCTCCATTAGCCAAGGTTATTCATGACAACTTTGGAATCATTGAAGGTCTTATGACTACTGTTCATGCTACTACTGCCACTCAAAAAACTGTTGATGGGCCATCTGGAAAAGTTAGTTTTTAAAAATTGTACTATTCTTTTTATACATTATTTATATGTGTCATTTAAATGTACTTTTTCTTAGTTGTGGAGAGATGGTAGAGGTGCTGCCCAAAACATCATCCCAGCATCTACTGGAGCAGCTAAGGCTGTTAGTAAAGTCATCCCAGAACTTAATGGAAAATTAACTGGAATGGCTTTTAGAGTACCAGTTGCTAATGTTTCTGTTGTTGACTTGACTGTAAGGTGAGTTTATCAAAAGTATTAATTTTTGTTTGATTAAAACCATTTCTATTAACACTTTTTTCTGTTAAATAAATGCAAATAATTTTCAAATATCCAATAACTCACAATTCAGTTTATTTATTCAGCAAAATATAATTATGATTAAAACTTTAAACAATAAACTTATTATTTGTGTTGGTTTAATATAAAACTACTGGAACTGATGAATATTCTCATGTATTGAAAAATGATTTATTATTATATATTATAATTTCTTACAACTCATGTATTTGTTATTAGTAGAGTTCGGATTTTAATGATCTAAAAAATACACAAAAATGTAAAAATGACTTTAAAACTCTAATAAATGTACCTAAACAAGCAAAAACAATTTAATTTAATTAAAAAAATATTTATTCATTTTTTTATATCACAAAATAGGTAAAAATTTGTTTTAAGAAGTAAATTAAACAAACAATTCAAATTTAAGTTAACAATTAATTATATTACTTTCAATATCAATATACTGGGGTATGTGATTGATATTACCTACACAACGCATATTAAAATAGCTTAAAATAAACAAAAATGAGTTACAAAATTAACGTATTATTTTGTAAAAATTACCTTAAAAATGCAATAAGATACATTTAACAAAAAATGCTAAATAAAAATTACACATTCTAAATTGTTATACGACAAAATAAATTTAGTTTTTGGTTAGAACTGTATAGCATTCAAAGGTGAAAATGTAGGTCATCGAAATCCTAACTCTAGTTCTTAGTTTAAATGTTAAAATTTAATTTTTAATTTTCAAAAAATTAATATTTATTTTATTATGTGTTAGACTTGCAAAACCAGCATCCTACCAAGATATCAAAGATAAGGTCAAGGAAGCAGCAGCAGGACCATTGAAAGGAATTTTGGGTTATACTGAAGATGAAGTTGTGTCTTCTGACTTTATTGGTGATACCCATTCATCGATCTTTGACGCTAAGGCGGGAATTTCATTGAACGATCAATTTGTCAAGCTTATCTCATGGTAATGAATATCAATTAAAAATAAATTTTATCATGTACTAATTTATTATTTATTCATTTTTTAGGTACGACAATGAATATGGTTATTCCAATCGTGTTGTGGACTTAATCAAGTACATGCAATCTAAGGATTAAACCGTTATTTCAAGCTACTACTAATAGTTGCGATATGTAACTACACATTTGTGTTTTAGAATAAAACTATGCCTTTTTGTTCCCCGTCATCAATATATTTGTTTAATGTGTGAAATTTTGAATAGAAATACTCGCTTTTTTTTTTTTAATAGAAAATAATTTATTTGTGTAAAAATCCTAAATTAAAAAAAAACAATTATATATCTACCTCGATATAAAAGTAATAAATAAAACAATGAATTTTAGAAGACAATAAAATTATTACTGAAATCTTAATACTATTATAGATTAATTAAAATAGAACAATGTCAAAATTAATGTGCATATGAGGTAAATGTTTGAAAAATATGTATAAGATTGGTTTTGTAATTGTTCATTTTGGTAAAATCCAATTTTTGTTGCATATGCTATTGCATGAGCAATATAATTTTGTTCGTGAATAGAATGAAACAAGTGTCCCATTGGTCCTATAACAAATAATTGAATAAGCAATTGACAAATTAATTTTCTATTAAATAATTTACCTTTGGCATATACTGCAACGTCACTTCCGCCATGTACCCCTGTCTCTTCTGGAATACCGACTTGTTGAGTATAATCATGGCTAGATGTACTAGAGATTGCCGGATCTTGTCTGATGACTAAAGAACCAACACGGGTATACACTGGACGTTTAGCATATCCAATTGAATATGTCAATGTCGTGTATTTAACATAGTCTGTTTCTGACGTTCCTGCCACATCAAGAATATTATTTCCCCGCTTTGGATATCCATTAATTGATAATGAGTTAGCATGATCACTGGTTACAATAATTAATGTGTCTTCTAGCATGTTCAACTGTTTCAATAATTTGATTGATGTATTGATTGTCTTATCAAATTCAACAGTTTCGTCCAGGGCTAATCTAGCCATGCTTAGATGGTGTGCTGCATCAATTAAACCACCTTCCACCTAAAATAAAATAATTAAAATTCAATAAACTAGCAAACTCATTTATAGTTTAATTCTTAACTTTAATATATTTTTACTCTTAGACTTCTGCAATGTAACTTGGCTTGAACCAATTGTAAAAGCATTAAATTCTTATTAAAATTTATGTAAATCTTGCTTATAACCAGTTAATGGATTTTAATGGGATAATACTTAAATTCTTTTAAAAATTTCAAAAGTATATTAATATTTATGAAGAAAATTAAAGAGTACTCATTAAGGTGTAAGATTGTTTGATAAATGGTATATTATTGATAATTTTGATTTCACGTTTTAATTTATTTAAAGAACAATACTTACCATCAAAAAAAATCCATTTTGATTTTTTGATATTACTTTTAGTGCTGTCTCTGTCATCAATTCTAATGATGGCGTTTCTAAATATTTTTTGTTTCTAGTATATTCCATTGGCATTGTTCCATTTGTAAATATTCCTAAATAATAAGTAGTCGTTAATTTCTACTTATGTACTTAGGTAAACAACTACTTACCTACTAGGCTACTTATACAAAAGTATATGCTTAAAAGTTAATAACAAAAAATGATATAATAATTATAATAATAGTTTTAGTATAAGTACCTATCTGTGTTACTTCTTATATAAAGAAATATATTTTATTTTAACATAATAGTTTATAGATTAGAGAATAATTAGGTATCTAAATACATACAATTAAAACAGAAGATCAAATAAATTGATAAATTTTATATAAATAAATAAAAAATAAAACGATGTTTAGTTTAAGATTATGCTAATTTTTACCATTTATATAACATAATATATAAATAATTAGTTTATATCAGCGTTTTTCTATCTGTGTTGAGAGAGAAATCTTGCTTTAAACTTAATAGTTTATATAAACAGTTCAACAGTTTTATTTATTATTAATATTAAATTTTGATGAACAATATTTAGAAGGTTACTAGGTTGTTAAATGATATTTTAAAATGTTAAAAGTTGGTATATGATACTCAGATAAAAAAACAATTAAGAACAGCTGGTCTATTTAATGTTTTATGTAGGTGTACAAACAGCTCAACGGCTGTACTAATTTCAATAAAAATTATATCAATTATTAATGAGTGATATAGACTTTTCATCCTAGAATTCAACTCCTCATTTATGATTAATACAAATCTTTTTCATAAGATACATAAATCATATTTATCGTTTAATTTTTGGCTGCCATTTGTTGCACGGAAAAAAAATCGGGAGAAGTCAGATAAATAATTCAGTTAATTGCATAAATACGATCATGGAGCATTTCTAGTACCTATACAGAGTAAGTAGGTACCCGTTTTTGCGAATATTTTTTGAGAATCCAGCTTTTCAACGTTTTAAAATGTTTGGTGTAAATCATTCGTTTTTAATTTATATAGGTATGATAAGTAATTTGGTACTTGACGGCTTGTTCCAAGAGTGGTCACTAGTCGCTACTCGATTTTGCACGTTAATTCCAAGTTTGATACCAATAATCATAATATTTTTTTTTTCACTTATTTTAAATTTTTTTATTGAAGTTTCATTTTATGTTAATTACAACTATACAAAAATACTGTTTTAATTGTTAATTATTTAAGTAAATCACAGGGCCAACAAAAATAAATTTTAGTTGCATAAATACTTATTCTGTCTCAACTAAGAATGTACCGACCACCCAAATTGTTTTTGTTCAGCGACGCGCAATCCCTATAGTTGTTTAGAGCTTTTACCGCGTAGTGGGGAAAATTGGACGATGTGCGATGCGTAAACCGGTATAATTCTTTTGTAAAGAATTTAGAGACCAAGCTAGAGGGTCACTCGTTCGCTAGCTCAGAAATTTAAAACGCAAATATCCCTCAATTTGTTGTGCAACTTCATGTTAAGAAGGGGTGACTGTCATTTGGTCCGACAAATAATAAACGGCGAAAATTAATCCGCGAAATTTGATCCGATTCAAAAAAAACTAGTACCAAAAATATCCGGCTAAAAAAAAAAAAAAATTCTTATCATAATATATTAATATATAATATTGTGGAATATTTTTAAGTGAACAGTTAGAACTGTTTACCTTTTAAAAAGATAACGAAAACGGGCGGAAATATTACGAATAAACGAATCTAATCAGCTCTCGACAATCAAGATATGAATTATTATTTTGATATAAATAGGCAATAGCGTAGTTAATATCCGTTCTTTCGATTTTAGTGCAGGATTACACTTAGCTGTATGCGAACGTTTATAAATCATGTAAATACGTAATTAAATAATGCCACTTACATTCATAAAAAGCCAAAAAAGTGTAAATATGATTATAAATAAAGGTTTTTTGTGCAGAGTATCCATATTCCATAATTTGTACCTACTAATCAAAAGTAGTATGGCGTTGTATTGAGTAAAAAAAGTTGTCATGTAAAAGCCGATGTCACACAACAACGAAATATAAAATAGGTAAGTACTTAAGTTGTATACCAAATTTATAGAAGTTTGCACCATGCTTTCAACGCATCGTAGGGACGTCATCATACGATTATTTGTAAATTAATTAATTTTTTGAAGCAAGAACAAGGACTCCAAGAAACAAAAATATAGGTAAACAATTATTATGTTGGGTGAAAATCAACATCTTTAAAATACAATAGAAAATTATGAAATTAAAAATAATATCAATAGAGATTTAAAGGTTATCGCTCATAATTTTCATTTTTAAATATTTAAATTTGTATTTGAAAATTGTGAAACTAAAATTTTATTATAAAATTCTATATTTTTTACGTTAAGTTTTTTTAGCCGGATGTTTTTGGTACAGGTTTTTTTTTTTAACTAGATTAAATTTCGCGGATCAATTATCATTGGATATTATTTACCAGACCAAATGATCTGAAATCACCTTAAGAAAATTACATGATTAACAAAAATGAATTTTGGTCGTACCTAGGGATCAATATGAGTCACTCGATTACTATGTTCGCTATGACAGGTAGCTAGACTATCTAATCTGGTACAATAATTTTATCTAAATTAAGTATTATTTAGAAAACATCAATCAATCTTAAATTCTTAAATGAACACTACGAATAATAAAAACTTAATTTTATCGACATATTTATGTTTATACTAATTAGGGGAAAAAAACGTGCAAAGTTTTGTTTTACCTTGATGTGTGTATTGGGTAACTATACCGTAACACTTTCAAATGCAGCGCTAACTATTGCACCATGAAACTTTTAATTAAAAAACATGAATACAGGTTTTCAAACCTCAAAATTAATCATTTTGGTAAATTTTCATTTGCACCATCGTTTTTAGTGAAACAATTTCGAAATTTAAGGTGCTTGGTAAAGTAGAATTATACCAAAAAATATGAATTAAGCTACAATTTTCAATGTGAGAAGTAAAAAAAAATAGTATTAGGTAATTGTCAAAACATGAATTAAAAATGTGGAAACAAAAATAATGATTAGCCTTATTAAATAGACTCCAATATTACCAAAGTATATAGTGGTCCTATAGAGAATTTTTTTTTAGTATTAATCACATCAGTGGCATATTTACAAACTAATTTTTTTTTTTTTTTTTGGGGGGGGGGGGGGGTTGTCATCATGTTACAGGGGCGGATCCAAAAAATTTTCCATGAGATTTTTACTGAGATCATTCCTTATACATACTTTTTTGCAAATTTCTGGGGGAGGTGGAACCTTCCCATAAATACGTCACTTAAGTACATACGAGTATATTTTTAAATTGGGATCGGATTATTTGAGTTTAATTAATAGATGAATAAGTTAATTAACCACATTAGTCTAATAAGCAAAAACTATAATGTACCTATCAACTATTAAGCCAACCTAAAACTTATAGATGTGCATATAAATAGGTATACAGTGGACGCCGCTAATAAGATTCAAAATCATTCGAAATGGTTAGAACGTACCCAAGTATAAGAAATACTTTGTTATAAGACTTAATCTTCACTCAAAGACTCTCCTCGTTTTTTGTAAAATTTCAAAATAATTTTATTTTTAAAAAGTTTTTTGCTTTTTAGTGGTTTTAATTTATTCCTCATAAGCATACACACACAATCACTGTTTCCTATCTAATTTATATCTTCGAGCACTAATTTTTATAAGTAATACGAATACGAGCAGGTTAGGCTACTGCAATAGTTAAAAGTAACAAAAAGAGCAATTTTTTTAATAAAATATAATAAAAAAATAGTAGGCATGTACCTAAAAAAATAGCAAAATACAGTAAATAATTTATTTAAAACATTTGTTTCGTATTTTCCTCGTTTAGTCTTTAACATTCATCATTATAACTTAAAAGACTCATTTTGTGTTGATCCCAAAGCGAGTTTTATACGTAGCGTTACTGTATCATTATCATTAGGCTCTTGTGGATTAGGTGGTTGGCCTAGGTCCAAGGATGGCTAAATAAGTACTTTAAAAATTAAAACACTGATAAATAATAACTTTTGTTCACAAGACGAGGTGACCAAGTAGCAACCATTAACTTTAGAGCGTGATTTTGCAATGATGTGTGATGTATTAATGGAGTATGATACGATAATACAATAGATCATAATATTAAAATGTAAATAAGGTATACTCAATGCTTAATGCTTACACACATTTAATGATTATATACCTACAGCTAAAATGAGTTTAATATTTATAATGGGCGCCCAGTAAAATAATAATAATAATAATAATAATAATAAATAAGACAACATTGAACATAGTATATCACATCCGATTAAATAAAACCAGATATGTTTTATTTAATTTGTGGTAATATAGTTGTAGGCTTTGACGACACGTGTCGTTTGTGATAACTACTTCAAACGTAACGAGACGAAGGAGTTGGTTCGGGCGACACGCATGTACTCGGACGACGGGGAACGGAGCACCAAACGGGCTTCTCAACGGGTACAATTAACACGCGGTCAACCACCGTAACAAAAAGGTAGCAAAATAAAAACGCGCTCAAATGTATCTATAGTAGATGCGGTACGCAAAAGACGACGACGACTTCTCATACGACGGTCGCGACAAAACACATAGACGGCGATATTATACGTAGTCGGATAAGTGTCGTTTTTCAAACATCGACAAAAGAGGAAGGGACGAGTTTGAACCCCCCTAGAGCTTATCGCGGGCAAAGGTCGAGAAGTTCCCGGTCGCGAGATGTAAGACAATTGAGAATAGATAGTATCTCTTGAACATCTACTGTGTATTGTAAAGCATATTATGTTAGTAGATTAATCACCCAAAATGTATTCTGTTTGTTCCGTATCCAATGATTTGATATCGTGTACGCTGGCCAAGAACTGATGCGACAGGTTGTTGGACTGCTTGTCGTGTATCCACTCTCGGATCAAGTCTCTGCGGTCGGATCGCACGCACAAGGGTTTTTCAACTGTTTCTTTTGGGTTTGGCGGTGAATTAGCTTCGAACGATTTCTTGCCGCCGCCCATTATAACCTGTTTTCGAAAAACAAATCGGCACACTGCATTATAATTAGTGTTATTATTTGGTGGATACTGACACGCAATATCCTGACTACAATATGAAGTTGAGCAAGATGAACCGCACATACGGGTTTTTTTTTTTTTAATAAATAATTGGGACTGGTATGTTATCGCCGCACCGTACAATTATATTGACGTAATACCATTCATACAATTCGTTTATTTTTAATGAATTATTAAAAATTACAAAACAGGCATACCTAATGATCAAGTGTAAACAAAATTATATTATTTACTTTATAATTGCGGTAAATCTGTACATTAGTATATTATAGTATCACAATGGAGTTGAGCATTCTGAAACATCCAATAAAATTTGTCCGAAAAGATTTTTATTTACACAAAGCTTCGACCGCTATATGAACTCCAAATAAGCTAAATAGCTCTCGAGGATGTCTGGGTGTTGTAATTACAAACCAACACCAAATACTTTTACATTGTGAGTTAAGACTTTTTAAAATAACCTAACCATAGTCGCTCAGTATTGAATTTAGGTAAGAGGTATATTGTATTATATATTCACAGGCTAAAGGTTACTAGCTACAGCAGTATGTCAAAAAAATTTTACGTATGTCATAGAAGGTGCCTATTATTTGTTTAGTCGGATGTTCGGATGCGATGATGATGCAATTGTAACAACTGTGCCCCCCCCCCCCCCCACGAGGCGGTTTGTTGTAAATCATAAAATTAATATTTCTTTGATCTATTATTCAACAATAGTGATATACCGGTTTATTTGAATGAATTTCATAACTACGGACTAAGACATAAAAGGTGTAAGGCAAGTCTATTCTAACTTATTTGTGTTATAAATGTATAATATATTTGGTAGGTAGGTATATTGTTATTATAAATATGGTCAAGGGGGGTGTTTCAACAATCGAAAATACCCTCCTGGTTATGCAATTGTAGACTACCTACAACACGTCTATACAGTACATAAATTACTATAAACACACGAGGTAGGTAAATGTATAAAACATATTATTGTTATTATTGTTACCCCATACCAGGAAGTTTAGTATGTCTTACGTTGTCTAACCGTTTCCCACAGTGCCACGCTTGCAATATAATAATATTATTATATTATAATTTATAGCATAATACACGCCACATATATATCAGCGAATGCTTATTTTTTGCGGAATAAAAACGTAATTAATAATTACACATATGCTTGTAAGGCACATATAAATTACGCTGATTACAGACACTTTAATCGTAACGATAACTGTCTCTAAACACTACAAGACATGATTGCTATTTAAGACAATATGATGTTATTATTTAGCAATCAGTGTGTCAGATAAGAACTGTCTGCCGCTGTCTAAAATTAAAAATATTCAAATTCCAACGTTAGTAGACAAGATATCACACAAAAGTGTAGTGAACGCGACGTAATGATATGACGATAATAATCATAATAATAACAAAGAAAAGATAAAAAAACTAAATGAAAATACGTATTTACCAAGCACAAGTAGCGATGTGAGTAAAGCAATTACTACTAGGTATATTGTTATAATTTAAATTAAAAACTGAAAATAAATTATAAAAGACAAAATTATATTCTAAAAGATTTTATATTAATAATGAAGTCATTAAAAATATTTTTAACAACCATAACTAAACGAATAATAACAAAGCAAGTTGTGAACGATAATTTTCCTACCTAAAGAAGCTGGAATAACGATGGGGTTATAATGGCTAAGTTGTTTAGCATTTAAGTTTTTAGATTTTAATAATTTCAACTTCAAGATCAATGGTATTGGATGTGATGGATGTTATACATCACGTTGGAGTTATGGATGGTGTAAAGGGGGAAAATTATTTGAGGGTAGATCATACATATAGGGATGAGAAGGATATACAGAGTTACGGAATCAGAGACAAAATATTAAACTTATAATTTATGCAAGTAGATATTATTGTAATATAGTCTTCGGAAGTAGTTGAAGAATTGTTGTGAACTATTATTACGAGTATTACATTAAAACCACTTCCCCTAAAATAAAATTTAATAGGTAGTTTTATGCATTTATAATGTTCTACTTCGAGAGGACACATAGTATTATGCGGGATGCGTTGTCTCCACCTTACTAATGCATAGCACGGCAAATTTAACGTTCATAAAAATACTTTTTATTCTGTTATTTTTAAATGAAAGTGGATTGATCATAATCATATTTGAATGTAGGAACAATATTATAAGTGCGCATATTGTAGATTCTTTTTAGATATTTAAATTTTGAATCAAGTTTTGAGCATTTTAATAAAATGTTATAAGGTGCTCTTGATAATATTGTCTTTATAAATGGTAAAAAAGAAACAACACATACCTATGTGGGTATACCAGATATTTTTTAAAATATTTTCATCTTAATATTTGTAATAGTTTTATTATTTTTTAAATTATTATTTTTCGCTTAAATATAATCAACACAAATTGAGGCTTCCTTAAATATTTAAGTGTCTATTAACTATCTGATTAGGTCTCGTAAATGAACACAATAATATGTATACTATACCTATAATCTGTATAATATTATATAATTATAATTTTAATAACGTACCTTAAAATTTCGTCCTGGTTGGTCTTCTATGAGCTGTCTGGCAATGTCTTTGCAGTGTTTCGCGTTTGGTGGCATGGCGGTGTTGCATTCCCACTTCCGATTCGACGTCCGGGCGTACAGGGCGGCAGGTGTAGCATCGGTTATCCTGGAGTTGGTCACAAACCCTACAAATGTTACATAATGATGATGATAAAAAAAAGTGATAAAAAAAGTCGAACCTATAAAAACGTTCAAAAAGTTGTAATAAACTGTTTTTATTTTTTCCGCGTATTTGCGCTTCTGTTTATACTTTATACGGTATGATTTTTTTGGAGAATGACCTTTTTAGGGAGAGTTTTCATCAAAAATTTAAAAAAAGGTCCAATTACCGTTTTTAACTAAGGCGTTTCCACTAAAAAGTTTGGAAATCTATGATTTTAAATTTAAGCAATGTACCTATTATAATGCACTACAAGTAGTTATACGCATTCGCTGCATGTTATAATGCTTTGACATTTTTAAATAATAGCAAATGCCAAATACTATATAATACTTTATAACGATAACCGTTGGTATAGCAAAATAAGTAATTTTTTATCTATAATTTTTAAGGTTTTAAGTGTTTTAACATATCAGGTTATATAGGCTAGATTTATTAAGTATAATATTATTTAGTTCTTTTGACCATGTAATTTTTTTAAAAACTATAATTTACTTGCACGATTAAACGAACTTTTTCCGTTTTTGGTGAAAACAAACTATACGCAAATCAGGAATCCGGTTTTTTTTTTTTTTTATTTGTTGAAAAAGGGCCATGAACATTTACTTAACGTACTTTATTTACATATTTAACTATAAACCGACTTATATCGTACAACAACAACAATAATAATAACAATATAATTTGAATAGAATACCCAAAAATATAAATTAGTTTATATAGTTAACATATTACATAGGTATAAAATTATCTACTTCAACCGGTTTATACGATTATGTACAAATACTGGCATACTGTAGACGAGGTGTATCTACTTATAGTTAATATTATATTCGCATGTGTATGCGTGTTACAACGTAAGCCACAGTGACAGTACTCGTATAATTATAATTATATATGAATGGAACAGCGAAATAATTACATATTTTACTGTATAAAATACTATGATATAGTGTTGGTGAGAATAAAAAACCATAGTTTATTATACTATTATCTATCGAACGGATTATTAATGTTATTATACATTTATTATAATATATATTGTACAATATGAATGCGGTTACATAATACGAGTACATTACACTCATATATATAAGTAACTGCTCACCTAGCAATAATAATATTATTATTATTACTTTAATATCTAAAAGAGGAATTCAGCTTTTATTATTTATATCGTAGATTTTATTGCCGATTTAAAAAACATTTAAAATTATAATACTATATTATAATAGTAGTTGTAATTTTTTTTTGGAGTGGCATGATTTAATAGGAACAAAAGGTATAATACAACTATACGGCTTTCCCGTAAAAACATATTTCATATGATTTATAATGACATTATGATTTGTGATTAATATTATATTAACAGTCCATGGCGCTTACCACAGTACTTTACCTTCTGGTGTTCGCAAAAGTGGTAACCTTAATCATCTACTCTTTAATCTCTTCATAAATTCTTTCAGTACTCATCTTTCCTATTGTAAAGTTCTTTTATTCATCAATGATATTAAATTATAAATTAAAATTAACTACACTAACAACTGCGCAGTATTTGCAGATACACAAACTAACCTTAATTCCTTTTGTAACAGTGGACCTTACACGTGCCGGACTTACTTTTAATCTTGAGAAATGTCATGTAATACAATTTTGCAGGAGACGTCCACCTCTTCACAGCTTTTGTTCCCTTATTGGCTCTTTACTCAAATGGGTATATATTTTGGTTTTTAATTAAACCCAGCCCTATCATTTGACCACCATATTAACCGGTATACGCAGCCTTGCAATTTCTGCACTTCATTAAACGCAATACCAAATTATTCTCGTCCAGTGCATGTCACTTGTCTGCTCTATTTTGATATATGATATCGATATGGTCATATACCATCCGTATTAGGTTCGTGACCAACTGCATAAAATGGGTTCAACATTTTTTTTTTTTATTATAATACGCTGCTTTTGTTCTTTAAACATTACCACTTTCTTATGACTATTTTACTAATCGATTTTCTTAAGCATTCCTACCTTGCTTTTAGTCATATTTCTGCCGATATTTATTTTATTTCATCCCTTTTTTCCCTCGCGAATGGTAATAATCATTCCATACATAAAATGCTCTGCTACTTTAATAAATTATTTCAATTTTTCGGCTACCTTAATTAAATATTATTCAATTTATTTCGATTCTATGTGTTTGTGATTGTAAATTATATTTCATCTTATACATTGCGTGTCACTATAATATGATTTTTTTGTGATAGTGAAACTTTATATTATTTATCTCGTAATGTACCTATACAATATTTTTATTAACATATTATGCCTTATGCTTTCAAGCTTTAACATTATATGTATTTTTTATTTTATAATATATATGTTATAAATGTAACAGCAAGAATACAATATCTAATGGTCGATTGCATTTGATTCACATTTGATTTATGACGCACTTAGACATATTGTTCACCACCGAACAATGTCCCCCAAACTCTTTTACTATTTAGGTTGTATAGTTCTAAACGTTTGAAATAATATAACCTTCAGTAGTCTACAATAACTAAAATGTAAAAATTATTAAGGATGAATTCCGTTTTACTATTTTCAATGATTTCGATGAATTAGAATCTTTAATGCTGAGCGATACAAATATATTATGATCTAGATGTCGATTATAAAAATATAATTGATTCATTTTTTTTACAGGTCTTTTATAATACGATGATTAAAATTTTACAATTTTACCGATTGTAGTGTATGTAATCGTATTGTACTTGTTAAGAATATTTAATAAGATTAACGATGAGTGCAGTAATTTATGGATAAAGCAGATGATGTTCAACTAATTAATTTGATTGAGTTTGTGATTAAACTTAATTGTGTATGTTTGTGTAACTACGAAAATTATGTGATACCATTGTGCCATTAATAATTATTAATTTTGGTACTTAAAAAACTTGAATATTGACTATATAAGTATAAATGGAGTAAGAAAAGAGGTTAAACCTAGGTTTGAAAGAGTACGTGGGTTTGCTTTTTTTCGCCTAAAAAACGTAAAAGTGTGCTACCACCAAGGGTGCCCATATAGGGGGCAAGGGAGGGACATGTCCCCCCCCCTGGAAAATGTTGAAAAATTGTTTACACAAGATTTATAATGAGTGAAGATAGACTTGATGGAATCACGCATGATAAGCTTACATAGGGAAAAAATTGATGATAAAACGAATGAATACATAGAACAAGTAATAAATATATTTGGTGTTAAAAAATTTTTATTTGTAAATTTATATTTTATTAAATTTATGTTATTAATCAAATGAAAATTTAATAAATAATTTTTATGGTTAATTGGTTAAATAATTATTATTTTATAATTTTCCAGTTTGATATATAAAATATAATAGTATAATGTTAAATGGTATACCCTTTTCTATCTCATGGACATTATTAAAATTTTGTACCCCCCCTGAGAATTTTTCTATGGGCGCCCTTGACTACCGTCTACCACTGTCGTATGGAATCGTGTAATATGCAATAGGTAGCTGTTTGTATTTATTGGTGTATGCTGTATGGTTGCTGCGATGTACGCGGGCTTTAGATATAATAATATGAGATCAAAGAAGGACGCGGTATTAAAATCAACGGGAATCATTTGCAGGCAAATACATGCTTCCTATAATATCACTTATTGTAAAATGACCAATATTGATTTTGAGTATAGACAATTTAAAATATGAAGTGCACCGTGGGTATACCTGCATATTGAACGTCTACTACAAATAATGGAGTTCCAATCATACACACACACACTAGTACACTAGTATAATGTAAACATAATAAATCTACGACTGGCTACGAATTATAGTCCTAGGTGGAACGCGTGAATTTGCATATTGTTAACAATTTTTTCTATGGGAATACTACGGCCAAGTATACGACTTCACATTAGGCAGTGCATATAAGTATAATATAGTGTTTCAAAAATGCAAAGAGCGTTGTCGAAATCACGTTTATTTTTCGCGTGAGGCGCGAAATATCATCATTCATCATCATAGGAACAGTTGATAACAATAATATATGAGCTTATCAAAGTTGCTCAAGCTATAATAAGTATGTATATATGCTTATAACTATTAACCATCGAATAAAATATACACATGTATTTTATAATATTGTCGAGAAATTTCATACAAAAGATCATAATATCCATTATCGTTATGACATTGTGTCTGATTGCAAACGTTAACACAATACCAATAATATTCATCATAATTTATATTATATAATATTGCTTGTTTGAAAATGCGTTAGGGAGGTAGTAGGATTAACAGTTCTTGTTAAACTTAGATGAAAACGTCAGGGAACTGACCTATTATTACATTTGACGCTGAAAACATTTTCTGTGTGATGTTATTTTAGACGTTTTTTCGAGTTTTAATTTTAAAACAAGGTATGAGAATTTTTAAATTGTAATATTTTACGCACGATATAATTCACTTCAATATTAAAACCTCGAGAAAATCACGTTTAACCTTTAAGGTTAATAATAGGTAAATTTACTATAATATCAAATCTAACTAAGCTAAATGTGAACTGCTGAACGTAAATATGCTAATTTACACATCATTTAGACATAGACAACACACGTGAGTCTTAAATAGGTACATTCATAATGTTTTTATATCATAATGACATTTTTTGGAAGTAAACGAGAAATTCTTAAACGGAATAACTAAGCCACGAAGTAAAGAATTGATAAAAAAAAAAAATATATAGTTGAAATTGTTGATTGAAAATTGTTTTACAATGTTACTCAATAAATTTATAGGTAGATAATTCAGTTTAATATATTCTCATGTAGTTATAATATATTTTGTACGCAAACATATAAGTATGATAGTATGAAGTATGAACTAGATATATCATAGGTTATATTTTATTGTATTATATTTTCTAATAATCAGCGAATAATGGCAACAATCCTTAGTAAACCATACAGATTAGAGGCTTTATCTTAATAGCAGTTTGATAAACTTGAGTACCTGTAGCTAATTTTTTTAAATTATTTGTATTTTATATTAATTCGTTTGATAACTATACACTATACATTATTTTGTAAAAATTTAATGCAATAAGAAAAATATAAACCGAGAATATAGTACCTTAAAGAGATAGAGAAGACCAAGTGAGATATATAACGAAGAAAAAGGAAGAAAACGTTTCTGATATACTGCAGTAGAAGTCGATAATGCACCTAATTACGCAGTCGTTGCGTAGGTCACGGTAATGGATGTGTTAGATATAATTTTAATAATAAATCAAGGAACGGAGACAGTCTGTCAGCTTGTATAACTAATACCTATATTCATTATACATTTATATTGGTACTATATTAATTTATTTTATTGTTTGAATACAGTAGTTGGAATTCATTAATACATTAATACCGCAAACATCTTACTAATTATACTAGTGTAAATTTGACAGACTGTCAGTCTATTATTGTTATATATTATACATAATGCTATCAATTATTACAGAGAAGAAAATTTATTTTTACTATTAATAATATGAAATCAATAATTCATTATACATAAGCAATAGCATAAAATTGTTTTTGTTTTAATATAAACTACTTAAGAGATAACTTGTATTTAATTTTTAAGTCTTAACTATAAAAGTTGAAAACTTTTGAATGTTAAACTACATTTGACGAACTTTCTCAAAAATTAAAATTCATATGTTTATAAAAAAAATCGTATATTCGTACCTATGATGTACATTATTTAAAACTATTATAAAAACTTATGAGAAACCTTGCTTTAAGTTCTCAAATTTTTTGATCAAGTAAAACATTTTTCATCGATATTCGTTTTTGAAAATAATTACGAAAAAAATAAATAGATTATTTCAAACCGTTTTTAAGAAAAAATTTTCGTTTTCTCTTACATTTTTTTTCCATTTATTTTTAAAAATATTGTGAATTTTTAATTTCTACCGATAAAAAATACTAACTAAATCAAATATTTTTATTTGACGAACTGGGAGGTCTTTTCACTTTGTATTTCCCATGATGTATACAATATTATATAAATTAAGCTTATTGTTCAATTATTGTAATAGATTTCCTAATAATAAAATTATGTTACAATTTTTTATCAGAAATCACTTTGAAAGTTGAATAACGAAGCATTTTTATCTTTTATACAATTTTTTAGTTAGTGTGGTTTTGTAGAAATACTCATAAATAATCCACATAAATATTGTAAAATTAATAAATTCATCACTCTGTTAAAACTCTATTACTAAAAATTTTATCAAATATAAAATATTTAAACAAAATTTACAAATGCTGATCATATATTTTTCAAATATAAGAATAGTTTCTTATTGATTAGCGTAGATATTACAAGATGAAAATGACTAACTTCAATTTTTTTTTTTAAAACAATTTTTTGGCTTTTGTAAAAATTAAAGTGAATAATTTAAGAAACCGGAAGAATAACAATGTTAGATAGTGAAGTAAAAAACTATCCATTCAGGCATAAATTGTGCACAGTGCTGATTTAATAAATGTACAGGAAGCGACTAAAATGTATGATAATTGACATTTAACAATAGTGAGTTAATACAAGTTGAATTGATATTATGTAGGTATGCTAATATATTAAGTAATATTTATAAATTATGTTTAAAATGTCTTTTTTTATATAATATAAAAGTTTTTCAGAATTATTTTATACAATAAATTAATTAAATAATAGTTTTATTAAAATAATATATATATTATGGTATTAAAATTCGAAAAAAATAATTGTAAAGTTTATAAAATGTTTACGATTATAGACATTATCTATTTCATTAGACATAATATTTGCCGATATCATGTCATGACCTTACGTATATGATATGTAAAGGGGCAAGTTAATTAAAATAATTAACTCAATTTAAGTTAAATTAGGTGAACACAAATTCATTAAGTAAAAATTAATTTTGTTAATCTCAATAATAAAAATACGTTTTATTTTTTAAATTTAAAGTTAATGTTTTATTTCCATATATACTAAACATTTTTAACTTTTTAGCTAGTTAATGCCTACGTCTTTGATAATAAGATGCATGACGCCCAAATTCTTTGTATTAATTGTGGGTATTGTTTAAGTATAGTGCTCGACATAATCTTAATTATTACAATCAAAATGTTACGATTAAATGATCAATTGTTAAATTGACGTATTTAAATATAATTTAATGCTATACCTAACAAAAATTTTAAAAATGTTTAATATTAATTTAAAGTGTATCATACCGGTGCTTTTTCCAGCATCTTGCGCCCACGTGGCCAACGAATCGAGTCCAATGCTCTGTGAATTAGCATTGTCGCAGTAACTTGTGTCGTTAATGTGGTGATTTGCGTCTAAGCCAATAATCTTTTGATTAACCTTTACACCAGTGAACATTGCAGTTGCTGAACTCGCTGCGTCCGGAACTTGTTTGTTGACCGAATATGTCTGAAATTCAAAGGATGACGTCGCGCGTTTATTAACTAACATAATTATATAATAATTATTCATTAAAATCTTATTTAAAAAAAAAAAAAAAAAACTAACATAATATAATAGGTATAATATATTATATTATTTTACAGTAAATGTGCCTATTATCATTGTATTTTCGACGAATATTGTTCAAAACACATATATTCATTTTTATTTTTAGATTTTTTAAGAATATGTAGTAAATTTCTACTTAAATATTACAAGCTCTCTGCAGATTAATCAATATGTTGAATAATTAATGATATTCATGTTCCATTTTTTTGAAAAGAATTTATTGGTATTAACTTCAATTTTCAGAACTATACTAAATATTACTCACTATGATCCCGTATATGTTACTCATATAATTACCACATATTTGAATCTCTCAATTTTTCACTTACACCTTCTTATTGTGAAAAAAAATAATAATTTTTGCGTATCTATAAATTTATTATAGTATTAATTTAAATAAATGGAGTAGTGGACCAATATTTTGGGAGGTAAGTACCTTTAATAAATACCACTTCACTCCAATTAACTTCAAAAATTTTAAACTTGGATAAAAAATATAAAATATGCAAGCATATTCTTCTAAACTCCCTCAAAAACATAAAAACAAAAATATGAAACGCTAAGATAAAGTTTTGTCTTAACATGCATGAAAATCAAATTTGTTTTTAGCTAGGCTTTATTAAAATCGTGCTAAACAAATAAACGAATGCTAGAAGTCCTTTGCCTATAACGTATAGGTACTAATAATTAAAATATTATTGACTTCAAATTTAATTTTTTTTATATCAAATGTTCTGAAGAATATTCTGTTTTTGAGAATAAAATTATAAATATTTTTTATTATAAATAAATAAATAAAAATCTTAAAAATTGAAAACCATAAATAATGTTAAGAAATATTGTTTTGTAATGAATTAAAATTAAGCAAAAAAATAATTTTATTAAAAACGATAAATGAGCGATTAGGTACTGTTAAGAATATTAAAAAATATTACTAAAGTCTCGTGAGTGTTTTTAGTCGATTGTGTCCGTCTCTGAACCAATTGTGTTTGTTCCCGTTGGCATATTCTTACAGATTGACATTTTTTTTTTTTTTTAATTTGATTTGGAGGTAAATTGTTTCTGTGTAACAAAAGGCATGTCATTATGTTTTTTATCCAACGTATGACGAATTAATACTCGATGGAAATTAAACTATATCCGAAGCATAATAATTGTGTAACCATATCCCGAATATGAAACATTTTTAACATTAATTGTATGACAAATATTTTGTGCACAATCGCAATATATTTTCACTAAATGTATATTTATACGTCTATAATATTCATTTGATGAATATACTTATCACAAGGTATTAAATATAGTTAGATAACAAACAATGATAATTGCCATGAAAATATTAAATATTAGTTACCAATCAAAATGAGATCTTTCATTGATTTTTAACAAGTAATTAGAAATTAGTAATAACTAATAACTATATAATATACGTTAATATGCAAACAACAATGAACTTAATATATGACCTACTTATCTAGATAGACCATAACATCATATTATTGTAAACTATCAAGTTGTCAAATAATTAACTAGAGTAGTAACAATTTAAGAAAAAAAGTACTTAAAAGTATTATTATAGTGAAATATTTTATAAAAAATTAAATGAATAATTTAAAAATATTATTAAAACGAATTTTTAATAATACACTATAATATTTAATAGATAACTAACACATATTATCTGATTAATAAAGTCGACTATAACTATTATGTTTAAAAATCGTGATATTAAATTTCTCATACCGAAATTGTCTTTAGAATATTGACAATTTTTAATTTAAATAAGAGATTTATAAATAAATATGTTTTTAGTAATTGAATCGTAACAAATTTACATATTTTTAAGTATAAAATTAATATGTAATAATATGCCGTGTATGCAATATCATTAATTACAATTTACACAGAAACACAGAAGTTTGTATAAACAACATGATCCTATACCTACTTAATTATGACTAATTTTCTTATTCTATACACAGTAAATAAATTCATTTAGCTACTGTACTTAAATTTACATAAAATGACCAGTATTAGTAATAGATAGTACTTCTTACAGTGTATTTATGTGCGAAGTTGTATTCTGTAATGAATTCGTGTTTTAGTTAAATAAATTAAATAATCGTAAAATTAATATTGACACACACGCTTAATGATCATTAGAAAAGTTGATTGAATATTTAATGATATTTACATTATAAAAAAATATTAGAATGAAGAAGATATAATTAATAATTATAATACTATATAAAATAGTATTATATTCGCATAATAAAATAGATAAGAATCATATTCTAAAATTATAATTTATTATTCATAGTATATATTATTGTATCCATATATATATATATATATATATGATATAACATAGTCATTAGTCATTATCTAATAACTGTTTGCTCTGAGTAGTAATAAATTGTAATAATAAATCGGTTGCTAATCAGTTTAATCACGAAAATAATTTTTTTTTAAATTTAATTAACAAATTTAATAATTAGTAATAATTTAATATTCATATTGCTTTTGTTTATACCTTATTTAAATTTAATAATAGATTAACAAACACATCGTAAGCTAAAAACAATTAAGTTTATTTATATTAAAATGTTTTTTTTTCCAAAAGAACAATCTATAATAATTTACTATAATATCTCCCAAAATAATTATGTAAATATTTATGGATTGTAAAAACGATCAGACGCTAAATAAAATTAATTTTAACATTATGTAGGTACGTAGACAACAAATCGTATTTTAACGACAACTATAGCGAAAGAATGCGTTTATCAGAGATACTAACGGTTAGGTGTCTGTTGTACAATATATACTCGTACATACATATTGTACATAATATATAATACAATTCCGTTTACAATATTTGTTAAAACAACTTAACTATAATTTTATTGCTATGTGTTGTGACAAAAGTATACAATACTACACATATCGTGTGTCACCAGCATCGAGATAGTATGGAATTTATATAAAATCGTTTCTTTTAATCCCTAACCCCAATAATAATTGTATGACAATTATAGGATAACAACAATAGTTAACAATAATCATATGAACCCATTGAAAATGGTGACCTTGGTTGAAAAAACGATTTAGTGACTGTTTCCGTGCCTGTAACGTATTGTATAAAATATTATTTTTATTTGATATTATTCGATCACTTAAGGATCACAATTCACGACACTGTGTACCCGTATTGCCACTTGCCAACATATATTGTATATATTATGCAATATTATATCTTATAACTAAATTGCCACTCATTCATAAATTTTATTTATTGAAATTATTGAAAAAAAAATGTTCTGCTTTAAATTATAAAATTAAAAATTTTTATTTTCATTCAAAAAAGTAAATAAAAAAACAATAAAAACTATATGTATATATTTTTTTTTTTAAACGTTGCTCTATGATATAAATTATGTACAAAACTTTTTATTTGCTGCTATTTATTTGTTGTTTACTACTGTAAGACCTACTCCGTGTATAATATACCATATTGAATTATTGATATTTAACATGACAACAATATTAATGTAATATTACAACCAAAGTTTTGCAATAAGTACTCACTTTGAGCAGCCCCATGTGCGGAAACTTTTCGAAAGTTAATCGTCCGCTCTCGCCGTGCTTGTAAATTCTCGTAGCTGTTACTGTGTTTGGTCCCATCCCGTCGCCGATAAACAGGATCACGTTCTTCGCAACTTTGTTGTTGATCGCCACATTTAGAGCTTCGTCCAACTCGGCCCTGCCCACTGACGTCCAATACGCTTGGTCTATATGATAACGTATTTATTTGTACATTACACAATACACATAATATATATATAAATAAATAATACGCAAAAATACACTCTATATATATGTCGCATCCACATAGTGAAACTACTCATTTCATGAACTGGATATCCAGATAATGAAATTCGTCTAGATCGTGAATTTTGACGAAAATACATTATATGCACAATACCTATATTGTGTACTTCGTGTAATCATAAAAAACAATTATTTTTGTTATTTGTCAATAAATTATATTACATGTAATTGTATATTATATTTTATAAACGGTAGTGTTATCTATGAACTATAAAGTATTATTATAAAATAATATTCTTATTATTTATTTTTGCACGACGATTGAGTATGACAATAAGCCTTAGATATACTCTTTAAGTCAGAGAAGTAGTGAGAGGTCTAATCAGGATATTACGAGCATGGATAGCTGAAACCAAAGCCAAAAAGTGGAACATTGGTTTAAATTTTGTTTAATTTTAAGAAAATAGTTCATTTCATCGAACAATTGGACGTAGCCTTTATAAAGCTTTATTTGGAAATGACCTAAAAATTTGACTAATCACGTCAAGTTTATCATTTGATCTGTTGAAGAAATTAACAATGGAGAAGATCTCAGATAAAAGAAATTGAAAAACGCTCAATTTCCTGCAGCATTTGTTAAGTTGAAGTGAGATTGCTATTATCGGAAATTGCTGAAAATAATAAAATTATCTGTCAATTATGCGATTCCAGAAAGAATAATATTAATTCAACGTAAACTTGGACACGTTAGTCAAATTATAGAGAAAATGATCAAGGTAGATAATATTATACAATAAAAATGTTCTTTTAGATCTTAATTTAAAATAATTTTTAATTGAGAAACATAAAGAGAGCAGACGATTTTGAAATTAATTAGTGCATTATACTCAGAGTACCGAAAGTTGGTAGGGAACCTATAAATTCACCAAATATAATTTATGTGATAACGAAACAAAAACAAAAAAGATTGCATAAGCTTGGAACAAAATATAATTTACTTAAAGGATGGTTTAGCAGTAAATGTTTGAAAAAATCAACAATTCAATTTGTCACTAATGATCAAGTTGATAAAAATGTTGAATTTTCAATGCCAAAAATTATTAAAAACATTTTAGGAGGGTAAGGATTTTTGTCTTGTTCGTGTTAGGTGAAAACTCCTTGCAAATCAAGTCAGAGTACATGTCTTAAAAATAACATGCTATGTAAATCTATAGGTAATAGTTTATTTCATAATCAATTGTAATGAAAAAATAAATAATAAGAATATTATACTTGATAGGTAACACTGCCATTTATAAAATAAAATATACAATTTATACAATTATACAATTATACTCGTATATTATAATTATATTATATTATATTTTATCATATTTTTTTATGAAAAATAAATAAAAATATAATATAATATAATTTAATGGTAAATACCAAAATTAATTGTTTTATAATAATTACAAAAAATACATAATATAGGTATTGTCCATTATATGAAATAGATGTCCATATAATGTATTTTCGTCAAAATTTTAGGATTTTCTCAATCTGGATATCTAGTTCATGAAATGAATAATTTCACTATGTGGATGCGACATATATAACCCATCAACAATGCAAGGTACTTGTGTCGTTGTGTTAGTAACTTATATTACACGTTTAATAATTGTAACGATTATACGATTTAAAAAAATTACATTACATTATTAATTTTTATTCAAATTAAGTATTATTTAATTGTATAGGTATACTTAAGTTTTCTTGGTTATAGGCGTTGGTTAGATAATTAAGTAAGTCACTGTAACGAATGTGTTAAATTTGAATTTAATGTCAAATCATTACATACAAAAAACGATTCTGAACGAAGTCTGTCTATCAGAGTATATTACTAAGTATATTTTATAATGTATTTATGTTGCTATATTTATTCTACTATTAATTACACACTTACACGGCAGTCTGAGTTAATTTTTCGGAAAACATTGCATTTATTATACGATTAATATTTAATTATAATCAAAAAAATAAAAAAGTATAAATATGTTAATATTATATTATTTTAATTAATTTTAAACTAAATATCAGCTTACTATAAAAATATGTGAATAGATTCATAGTATAAATAGGAATTTGCATACAATTTATTTAAATATTTTGAAAATGCATTCATGCTTTTTATTTTTATTATTATTTAAACTTTGTGTTTACAATTAGTTTCAATAACACTTTTTATGTTTATAAATATAATAATATCTGTAGAAGTTTAAAGTTTCCTCGAATAACATTTTAAAATCTTAACAAAACGACTAAAATCAATCTTCCTTGTCAAAGATTAAACTTTAAATATCTATAAAAAAAATTGTGTTTAAATATTTTTAAATTTTTTGGTTTTAGTGTAAGCTACTTGAAGAAACCTATAAAAAATTTACATTTTTCAAATCTTCGTGATTTAGATAAATATTGTCAAAATTTAAACTCATTTTTAAAATTAAATAATTTATAAAAAATATCAATAAAAATAATTGGTGAACAAATAAAGTATTTAAGTTCAGTAGTAATAAATTATTTGTTTTTGGATTACATCCAACTGAAAAAATTGATTTTGTCAAAGACTGGTTTTAATAAAAATTCTCGTTTTTCCTTAAATTTTTGCGTATTTTTCTTATTTATTAAGATAGTATATCATTTTAAGTACTGGGAGTTTTTTACTTTTCCTTTCTAAAAAATTATCAAATTAGAACTAGAATTACTTAACTATCAGGAAATATATTGAAGTTGAAAATTATAAGTTTTTTTATTGCTTTAATAAGTGTTAGAAGACACACAGAAAAAACATATATTGTTGTAAAATCAATATATTCATTGCTTAGTTCATCTAAAATAAAAAAACTTGAACGTAAGAAATACTTAATTTCTTATTCTGCATATAAAAATTACTTACGATGCCTAACTATAAAATAAAAATATAGAATATACTTAAATATACTTTTTTACTCTCGGCGTAAAATTTAAACGAATATAGTATCGCTCAATGGACTTCATTGTTATACATGAATCTAATTCTAAAATACAAAGATTTATCATATAGACATTCGTCAATAATTAGATTAATTAAATGAGTTCAAACGACAGACAAAAAACTAGATGATTTTTTAAATGTAGATAATGTTGATATAAATTCTTTTACAAATGTTTTTATAATAGTAATATAACAAACTTAACTTTTATATATTTCTTATCTTTATTTATGTAAATACTAAAGGTGTGCGGTACATAGCAGTATTAAAAGTACTTTTATATTTATAATATTTATGCAAATCTTGTATTTAACATTCATAGCGAATAATATGATTATTTGTGAATAATTACAAACGTAAATTAGTCATAATTAGGCATAAATAATAATTTATATTTTAAGTATACAAATAAATTCATCTTTTGGTATAATAGTTAGTGTCATTTAATCTGAAATCAATATATTTTGAAATAAAATAATATTATAAAACTAAAATTTAAATTTAAACTAAATTTAATTTAATAATAAATTGATAAAGATAATACGTAATCGAACATTATTATTGGTTATTGCTCGATTAGTCTAACGAGTATATTTTATATTATACAAATGATTGGTATTTTGAAATATTAAATATTTTTTGGAAATATGTTTACGATTTAATTTTAATTTTGTATCTTTATATGTTTGTACAATAATTTATAATGGTCATTTAAAAAATCTATTAAAAAATTTATAAAAATATTACCCAGATTTCATTTAAGTATAAAAAATGCCCATAAAATTGAAAAAATGACCTAAAAATGCTAAAAATGACTTCAAATCAAAAAAGTACAAAAAATGTAAAATAAAAACGATATATTTGAACTCGTAGATGATCAAATCACATTTTGTGCCTGAAAAGTTATATCCTGTAAATCCTAAAAAAAATGCAAAATCCTATACTATCCTTACCTTAGTCATAACTCATTAGTAATATTATCTAAACAGTATAAAAATTGATTAAAAACTTTCTAGATTCTGAACAGATCAATAAGTATATTTTTAATCATTAAGTTTTGTGTTTGAAGAATGAAGAATGTTTTAATCTAAGAGTTTGTGGCTAGTTTTAGGTGGAAAATTGGATTTTGTTGGTATTTGTGGGGAGTAGAAGGATTTGAAAATTTAAAAATTATCTGTAAGAAACAAACAAAAAAAAAAGTTATAGAAGTTAAGAAAATTCGGTGATTTTACCCAAAACTAGTAAGTTTTGAAATTATTTTGTTGAAAATTTGTATATTTTAACAAAATAATTGTAATAGAATTCTTTAGAAATGATAATATCAAATACAAAATGTTATAATTCTTTTTGTACTGTTTATTTACATAATCTAAATATTTTGGATAAATAATAAAATTTTTATATGTGAGTGAAAAAACTTGAAAATTTAATGCTAAGTCCTTCATAAGTTTTTTTTTACACAAAATTCATAGACACAGAAATTGTGTGTTTAGTTAAGCAGTTAAGTATTTAAGTTAGGTATACATTTTACGAAATTCATCAAAATCGCAAAAATTTTATTTGCTGTTAAAAAATCATTCAATATTTGATTTAATATTTATAGCTTGAAAATACAAGATTTCTCATAAGATTTATTTCAAGAAATCAAAAGAAAAAATATGTAAGATACATAAATACGTGTAAAAAATGACTTCTTCTATTTTTGTTATTTTGTTTTAATTTAAAAAAAATATTAATCGTAGGAATTTGAAACATTCTATTAACTACTTAAACCAGTTTTTCTTAACCTAGGGTCTCGATCCCTTTAGTGATCGTCAACTTATTAATTAGGGTCGTCAACGTATGATTTAAAATTTAAATTAATACAAAAATTTAAAAGCTCAAATATTAAAATAAAGTAATGAAAAAATAAAATCAATAAATATAAAACATTGTATTGTATACAGTACTATTACAGTAATTAACAATTATCTATGCCAGTATATAAAAAAATATATGTAGGGGCCGCCAAAGTAAAAAGGTTGAGAAATGTTGACTTAAACAATTATTTTCTGTATACAATGAAATTTACTAAATATTCAGACTAACTTTAAATTCAATTTTCTAAATTTTTTAGTTTTTTTTTTCCGTAAATGTTGATTTGAGTTTTTAAATGTATTAAAAGATTCCACATAAGTTGTTATTATAATAATTTAAAAATATAAAAGTCATATTTTTTTTATAGACATGTTAATTTTAAATTTTTATAAAATTGGACATTTAATCATAAAACAGTAAAAAATTTTAGTTATTTTGTTGTAATTAAAAATAAGTTATTTCTAAGGACTTGGAACTTTTTTTTTACTTAGTGCATTATAATATGCACTTACTATACACAACGATAAATTCAAAATATATAAATTATTTTTTTGTTAATTATACGATGAATCTATTCATACTGTTCTAAAATATTTCTGAAATGACTAATCAGTCGTTATTAACAGTTAGGAGAGAACCTAAAATTATGTATTATAATATTACAATAATTATTAAATAATGTATGTGATTTATTGTTGAAAAAAATTAGTTAAACTTATTGTATTAATTATAAAAAAAATAAATTATTAATAGCGATATAAATATATAATAAAATATCTTTCGACTTTTTTTTAAAGACCGGCTTAACTCAGCGCCCAGAATCGTTTTTCATAGGTTAACAATGATTTATCAATAAATTCAAATTTAATATATAGATATATTGCAATGACCTACTTAATATAATGAAGTTTATTTGACACTTTATAATCAATATATAGCGACTTATCTGGTTTTTTATTATGTTTAAATATTTTGATTTTAAGATTTTTTTATTAGATATTTACATTAATATATACCTATATGTATTTACGTTATTAATTATTTTAGCCGGTAAATATTGTTTTAATTTAATAACAAGAAAAATGATTGATCTTATAATTAAAATAATTTATGAAAGAAAAATAATATTAATAACCTGTAAGTATAAGTCGTGGTTTTCTTAAAAAAATTGTGATCTAATTATTATATTATATTTAAAATATACAAATTGATTTTATTTGAAACTGATCTAAGGTGCGCAAATACTATAATTGCATTTAAAAAAAAATAATTGAAGGTATAGTCATTCTACTGTATTATAGGTTTTTAATGTACTTTATCATTCAGTAGGTATATTTATGTAATTGATGTGTTAAATTTGAATTCAGTGATAAACTATTACACATGAAAAACGATTCAATTTTATTTAATACTACAAACCACCCTGAACATTTTGAAGACTCAAGTATTTTTTCTTCTCTTAAAGATGACGTCAGACACAAAAAAAAGCAACAAACATTATTGTAAAACGAATTCCTACGTCATTCATTGCTCTGCTAAAATCTAAAATTAAATTCAAATTAAATTCACTGACAACAAAACAAGTGTTTAACTTTGTTGACTATAAATCGCTTATACACGGTTCATATGCAAATCTCATAAATTCTACATTTAACACTAAAATCCATATAGTGTTCATATTATACTTAATATATTTATTATTTATATAAATGTGTCACAATACACCTTCGATAAGTCTATAATCTGTTAGAACGTGCCAAGTGCTACCGCGCTTACATATTCAATCACTATATAATCGTCAGTATTATAAAGTATCGATTCACATGTGCATTTAGTTTGATTTTTTATACCGCTCATTAATAACGCACGTATTTATTATAATGTATATAAATTCATATAACATACTACGTGTACTGATTGCGTACCCGCCTAATAATTATATAAAAAGCAAAGACACTTGATCTTTTCAACCGTATAATACAGTAGTTTTATCGCTAATTGAACATAAAGACGAACCTATAGCTACAAGACAAAACATGTCGTAAAATAATAAAAACTTGTATGGTTAATACTTGTCCTAAGGGGGAAGAGAGCGGCGTTAGGTTAGGTATATATATATATATATATATTACTAAGATTATAGAGAAATACCCTTTTTATAAAGGGTTGATATTTCTGTTTCTTAGTATGTTTAATTTACATTAACATTTTTACTCATTATTAATTAATTATTTTTTTATTTTTTATTCAACCTATTTAAATTAAACATTTTAGGATCAGTATTCTTTTTTTAATTATTTTTTTATGCTGTTCTGCCAAAGAGCATACACAAATAAACAAAACCTCGTACAAAATATTTTTAAAATAATAAAAATTAAAAAATAATTTCAAGTGTATTTTCATTTGATGTAATGACAAAATTGTTCGAATTGCACCAGATCCGATCATTCCATAGAACGCATAAAATATATTAGTTTTAGTTGATAATAATTGAATGATCGATTTAGAATAACAATATTAATATACATATTTTTTGTAATTACTTATAAACTTTAACTTTATAATCTTTAAATTGGTAGCTATTTATTAATTTTTGATAAATAGCCACATTTTTATATTATTATTTTAAAAATTATTGTTAAAGTAATATACCTACTTAGACATAAAAAACACAAATTATTTTTCTGCCAACCGTCGACTGATATTCGTTAGTAAATGTAATATATATAGTATGTAATGATTGGAATGATGCAGTTCGACATTACTTTTTATTAAAACTGAGTGGAATCTTACAAAAAAAAAAAAATATATATATATATATTTATGATTTATGGGCCATATAACTGATGCTTATACAAATGTAACCTATGCACATGTAGCAGAGGACATGTTTGAATAAAATATGTATTAATTATAATTATATTTTCGCTTGTTTTACCTTCGACAAAAATCCTGGCTGCCGTCCGGCAGTTAATCAAGGCAAGCGTGGCCACCAAAAGCTCGAGCTGACGACGACCCATCATCATCATGACGGCGGCGTAGCAAGATGATTGTTATATTATTGACTCTTATTATCTGCGTGAACAATGCGGTGATCGACAACTGTCCGTTGTAAGACAAAAATATAACGACAATGATGATAATATAAAATGATAGTGATTACGATAATAAATTAATATTATATGTAATACTTGCTCGACATTTAAACAATTATCATTATCATTATTATTATAAATTACATATAATGAGACCGCATATAAAAGGGTTAATTATGTTCACGTCGCGTTGGGGCGCGTAAATAATCATAAATAATATTAAAATGTATCGATCGTCAGAAATTGAAACTAATTTTTTTCGAAAAAAAAATCTTCCTGTTCTAAACAGTAATCGAAAAAACTCGCATACAAAATAGTTGACGGCGAAAACGAAACCTCGGACCGACGTTGTGGCGCGTGAATTTATATTATAAAGTACAAAGTCGTGTAGAGGTACCTACGTAATACCGGTGCCACGCGTATCGCAGTTCTGTCGCGATTCGTTCGCGTCCGAAACCGATTTTTTGAATCGGAAACCCACTCCAGTGGCGCATAGTACAACACGCACGTGACTAGTAGCTTCCACCTCCCACCAGCGCCACCGCCGCCGCCGCCGAGGAAGCGCACGCCGATTCAAACGGAATATGAAGAAACGGGAACAAAAATGATAATCCCAAAGAATTATCAACGAAATCTGGACTCTCCATGATGATTAGGGAGGAAGGAAGACCACGGAATTTGACCCTTTCTCTTCGGGGGAAGTAAAAGGTTCGTATTATTTATATTATGCATGTATGTCTTAGGTCAATTGTGTCGCCGATGCAGTTAACGATGACACGTGGACAACTATATACAGAATGATTCGCCAAGCATACTTATCCCAATATTTTTTTTTTATTAATAATATATTTATTCAAACTCTGATTCTTGAAATTATTACGGAGTAATACAAAGTTCTGGTTTTTTTACTGTTTATTATTATTATTCAGTATATCATAAAAAGATTATTATTATTTATTCTTATATAATTTAGTGGATCGTTGTTTGGAAAATTTTGATATACTTATTTCAAAATATTTGAATGAACTATCTCAGTTATTAAAATGTTTGTACTAAAGGGTAAAAGATTTTCTTAAAAATGGTTTAAAAAAATATAAAATAGATATAACATTTTAGTACATAAAGTTAAATAACTTAAATGTTACTTACTCAAATTTTGGTTTTGTGACGTTAAAATTTTTCAAAAAGTTATAAAATTTAAAGTAGAAAAGGGGTTCTTAAACCTTAGATAATATTCATAGAATATTATTCTAAGTAGTTTGAAAACTCACTAAAATTTGAAATAATACTATTTTAGTACATTTAAAATTTCAAAAAATTAAATTTTAAATAACTGTATTTTTGAAATAAAGGAGTGGGTGTGATGGTAAATCAATTATCTTATAGATAGTTAGTTACTCGTAATATATTATAATAATATGTTATCAACAAGATGTCTCACTATGGCCATTTTTCGTTTGTCCTCGTCGATAACTTTTTTCTCATTTATATTTTTGAAACAAAATTAAAAGAAAATTTTAGTAATAAATAATAGTTCTAATAGTGATTATTATAGTTATGTATTATAGAATATAAATTCCCTCTAAAATGTAATTGTCAAATACATGTACTGTAGGTGCACGTCTATAGAAAAAAGCCCAAGATTTCTTAGAAATGTATTTATATGCGCAAATTAAGCCAAACCAAATTTGTCTACATTGGTTAAGACACCTTCATAAAAATCTTCAATATTTTTATTTGAATATACGTATATTTGAAATTATTTTGTATACTTAAAGATGTATTTGCATATTACTCTACTGTATGTCATTCAGAACCAAACTAGCAATAACTATTAATTCAAACCCTGGCTATATATCTACATGTCTACATACATACATATATACATACATGCATGCATACATATATACATACATACATTTATAAATACATACACACACACACACACACACACACACACACACACACACACACACACA